AAAAAAAATCACATGAGGATTTTATATTTTTTAAAGATGTTATTTATTTATTTTTAGACAGAGGGGAAGGGAAGGAGAAAGGGAGGGAGAGAAATATCAATGTGTGGTTGCCTCTGGCACTCCCTTTACTGGGGACCTGGCCCACCACCCAGCCATGTGCCCTGACTGGGTATCAAACCAGAGACCCTTTGGTTCACAGGTCAGCACTCAATCCACTGAACCACACCAGCTAGGGCCATGAGGATCTTATTAAAATGCCTATTTCACTCTGACTAGTATGGCTCGGTTGGGCATCATCTCACAGACCTAAAGGTCACTGGTTCAATTCCCAGTCAGGGTACATACTTAGGTTGCAGGTCTGGTACCTGCTTAAGGCACATGTGAGACAACAGATCGACGTTTCTCTCATCAATGTTTCTCTCGTCTTTATTCTTCCCTTCTTCTACTTCTAAAAATAAATTTAAAAAGTTTTAAAGAATTTTTAAAAAATATTTTATTTTTATTTATTTTTAAAGGGAGAGGTGGAGGGAGGGAGAAAGAGAGGGAAATATCAATCAGTTGCCTCTAGCACACCCCCGGCTGGGGAGCTGGCCTGCAACCCAGGTATGTACCTTGACTGGGAATCAAACCAGCGACCTTTTGGTTCACAAGCTGGTGTTCAATCCACTGAGCCACATTAGCCAGGGCTAAATAAATTCCTTTTAAAAATGCCTACTTCAGGTCTTTCTTGGAAATTCTGGTCTTCTTGGTTTATGGTTCAGCCCAGACAATCTGTATTTTTAACTAGTGTCCTAGGTAATTCTGATGATGAACCGAAGTTGGGAAGTCTGACTTTATTATATCTCTTATCCCACAGCAATCTGGCACACTTTGCCAATAACAAAGCTGAGGGTCAGAGAATTAACCCATAACCCGAATCACTGGTAGTCATTCCTCCTCCAAAGCCTCTGATATGTTCAATTTCACAGCAGGCATTACATTTGCCTGAAGAATAGAGAGCCTCCCTCCATTCGGGACTAGAAATTCTAATAAGGACCTTGGCAAACATCCCACATTCCTTTTCCCTATTTCCACTGAAGGTGGTGAGAATACCTATTGTATTTGTTTTTTTAGGGCTGCTGTAACAAAGTAACACAGATTGGGTGACACGAAACAACAGAAATTTTTTCTCTCATAGTCTGGAAGCTACAACTTCAAGATCAAGATGTCAGCAGTAGGAGGCTGTCTAGAGTATGAATGCTCTTGGGAAGTCTATTCCGTGCCTTTTTCTTAGGGTCTGTTGTTTCCTGGCAATCTTTGGCATTCCTTGGTTTGCAGCTGCATAACTTCAATCTGCCTCCATCTTTACATGTTGTTTTTCCCTCTGTGTCTGTCTCTCCTTTCCTTTCTTTTCCTAGTCATATTGGATTAAGAACCCATCCTACCTCATCTTTCATATGAATTACATCTGTAAAGACCCTAAATCCAAATAAGGTAACATTCATTCACAGGTACCAGGGGTTAGGGCTTTAACATCTCTTCTGTGGGACACAATTCAATTCACAATATCTTTGATAGTTAGGTGTCAGAAGTCCCACCAGCATCCTCAAGTTGGGTATACAAACCCAATCACCATGGTGATCTAGGTTTTTAAAGAGCAGGGAGGACTCAAGGGTCCAGATGGGAAGAGCTGTGGCCAGGGTAGGGCAAGTTTTGGCTACTGTCCAGAGGCTGGACAGTTAAGGACTTTCATATGGGATCAGAACAGTTTAGAAATCTGGCTCAGCCAGTCTATTCATTCAATTGTCAGCTCTCTGTGGGCTTCCTATATGCCAGGAGCCAGACAAGGAGAAGGCAGGTAGGATTTATTCGATCTTGGCTTCTAGTTCAGTGAGGTGACTGACAGCCAGAGGACATTAATGAGGGCTAAGGTTAATGCCACAAGGAGAAACCCTTTTCTGTCAGTCCCCATCTCTGGCCCTGCTACTGCTGTCTCATCTCTTATCTCCCTGTAGCCTCTGGGATCCAGTCAGGCCCCTTCCAACCCATCTCCCACCAACACAGGTTTCGGAGGGTTCCTTCTCAAACACCAAACATAGCAGGGCACCCCCTGGTTTACATTGGCTCTCCACTTCTTTGTGGTTTCCCTCTGGCTTGGCTCCCATCTGGTACTCCAGTTTCACCTGCCACTTACCATGTATCCTTCAGGTGCTTATATACTTCAGACTTGAGGCTGCCTCAGCGCCAGACACACCACCACCACCTCTCTGTGCTCTGCCTGGAATCCCCTGCCCAGCCTTTTTGGTCCTTAGGCAACTAGCTTCATCAGGACCTCTGGGTGAGTTAAGTGTCCCTTTTCAGAGCTCCCATCCTCTCCCACTACCATGGCATTGTGCTGTAACTTTTTTTCCTTTCTCTCCACTAGATTGGGACCTCCTTAAGGCAGAAACAATGTCTGATTATTCTGTGATTCTTACTCCCCAGCCCCACTTCATGCCTAGACTGGGACCTGGCACAGTAACAATGAAGTCCCTCAAGGCTCAGCTGAATGTCCACTGCCCATCTGACTACAGGCTCTGCCCATGGATTACGAGCATACATTTATGTTCACAAATGGATTCTGATTGTGTGACCTAACAGTTTTGAGGGTGTGAGCCTTCACTGCCACTCCTAGCCTACAAGTGCCCCAAGCAAGGCAGGGCCCAGGAAACTTCCGAGAGAGGCCACTCTTGGAAAAGTGGGGTCACAGGGAGGCCCACTCCCTTGCATTCTGCCATCAGTTGGCTCCCAAAGTAGACTCTCTCTAGGTCTCCCCTAGCAACTTCTCCTTCCGCCCTTATTCCAGCACTTTTCAGGGTTCCACCTCAGCCTTGGAGGAGGTGTACATGGATGTCCATCATCTTCCTTTGGAGCCTGCTCCTGGTTCAGCAGGGCCAGAGGATCAGTAAGGCAGGAATGGGGTGATCTGGGTGCTAGGTTCCACTGGCACCCATGAGCACCTACCAAAAGTCCAGGAACTGAATCTTCTGGGACAGAGTCGGGGTGAAGAAAATAAAACCAGTTTCATAACCTGTTTTCCAGCACGGGAGGCAGAAACAGCCATCCATGGGACAAGTTAACACTCTGAAAGTGGGTTAACAACATGCTCTTCTCTCCACACCCCAGGAGGGTTTCCAAGCTGGAAGGGGGACTCACCCGACCCAAGTCGTCATAAGAGAAAGCCTCTGCAGCACCCACTCCCTGACAAACCTTTGCTTGCATATTCCTTGTGACTGGTAATTGGGACTTCAGGCACTAGTGGTCTTGGAGAGTTCACTCTTTTCCAGAACCAAGACCGGTCTCCTTTAAGCTTCCACCTTTTCCAAATTTTATTGTTTACTTTAGATGCACAAGCCTAGGACCAGTCCAGGGCTCCTTGGTTTTTAGGATAATTTACATTCTTTCTACCTTTTTTGGGGTACCCCTGAGAGTGTCAACAATCACACCCAGCCCTGTTGGCCCTCCCTAGGGACTCATTAAGAACAATAAATTGAGGAATGCAATGAGTGCCACAGTCTAGATAGTAAGGCTTACTGATCCAAAGCTCAGGGAGAGATATGGGGGTAGGGGGAACATGTGTCAGCTGCAGAAACCTACCTCTTGTCACTAGCAGGATTTATTTCAGGGTTCTGCCAGCAAAGTGACTTACGTTCTTCCACATCTCCTCCTTTTCCAGGGTGCTGTAGAGTTGCATGGGGTAAGGTGTGCTTCTGAGATCCTGGGGCTATGTGCCCCCCAAACCCTGCCCCATTTGCTAGAGTTCTTCCAGTATGGAGCACTTCCCCCTCCCCTAGCTGACTTGGAGCTGGGCAGGGAGGCTGATATCTCTCAACAGACAGTTGTGCAGGATTGGAGGAAGCAGCTTATCAGGGAGCCTGCAGTGATTCAAAGCTCAAGCCCCAGCTTACTATTCAGCTTCTCTGCTGAATAGTAATTTCCAGCAGTGGATTTGTGCTCAACCTCTCTCCTCCCCCTCTCCCAAGGGTGTGCTGTCCTTCCTCAGAGAGAGCAGTGAAGGGGGAGATCCTTCCCATGGGGATGGGGGGCTTTGTGCCAGCCTTCTGGATAAGGCTCTGGTTTAGGGACCTCAGCCACCATTGTCAGTGACACCCCCCAGCAGGCATTAGGATGCTCTTTCCTTCCCCTCCCAGAAAAGCAATGTTCTCTTCCCTTTCCCTTAGGGGTAACACACAAAGGGAGAGGCCTTCTTACAGCTACAGACCCCTGAGGCCAGAGGCAGTCAAGGAGGGCTGGAGAGAGAGGGAGAAGCTAGGGACCGGGCAATGTTCCTCTTGCACCATTCTGAATCTGTCCAGTCTATGTGCCTGACCCTGAAGACTCCAAAGGTTATGGATCCCAGGCTGGAGGGGACTGAAACACAAGTGGGCAGCTCAGAGTTTTCTTTGCACAGGCAAGCAGTTAGGGGAAATTTTGGGACAGAGCCATTTTCGTGTTTGTTTTATTGGAATCAACATTCCAGTTACTGGGCTCAAGGGAGAAGCCATGGAGAGTTTTGTCCTGGGTCTCTCCCTCTGGCCAACTTGGGGAAGGAGTGATGTGTAAAGAGCCTGTGGCCATGCCTTTGTCACCATGACCTCAGGGTGCTCCTTAAAAGAGAAGGGAAATTAGAAAGGTCAACTGTCCTGGGATGAGGGACAGAATGGGGCTCCCTGCAACTCAGACTCTCTTGCCCCCAAGCAGTTGGTTTCTCACCCCTTGCCCTCTGCTGCCAGTGGATGAAGGTGATTCCAAGAGTTCTTCTTGGTTTCCACACTCCTGCCCTCCACCCCCATGAATGCCAGGTGCCTCTAACCCTTGTGGGTTCTGGGGAAGGCTCAAGAGTCCCACTGCCCACCATTCCCTCTATGAAGAAGGTCCCAGTATGGCTCCGCAAAGCTGAAGGTGGAATTCTGCGTCTTCAGGCAACACAACTGGAGGAGTAACTGGCCCACGAAGCTTCCCTGGGGTCCTCTTCTTGTGGCTATGGGGTTCATGATGGCAGCCTGAGGAGCTGAGACCAGGCTGTGAGCTCCAGAAGACTGAGGCATGAGCAGCAGGAAGTGCATCTCAAGGTCAAGGGGCTGGGGCTAAAAGCCGGGTTGTCTAGGTGGCCCAGAAGCGATAGTTCTCAGGCTGTCCTGTTTTCTTCCGCAGCACCTGGCTCAGATTGCTTCGCAGAGCCCTCTCCTGCAGCGGGTACTCCTAGGCTCCTCTTGGACGTCGCCGCCGTTAGCTGGGATGAAGAGTCAGAATGGGGGCTCGGGGGCTGATAGCCGGGTTGGCGAGGATCCAGTGCATCTTTGGAAAGTAGGATGGCGAGGCTGGGCACGTTCTTAAGTACACTGAGACTGGCGCCCGGCACGCTACACTTCTGCCCGGGCGTGGGCCCTGGCGGGAGGCTCTGCCACACCTCGCGCACGCTCCGGTAGCGCAGCCGCGTGACCTGGTGCAGGCCAGCCAGGCGGCGCTTGAGGATCTCGGCACACGTGACGGTCTTGGTGGTGGCCCGACCGCAGCCGCTGAAGACGATGGCGCGCGTGGCCGGCTGCGCCATGCTGGCTGTGGCGAAGGCCAGTAGGTTGCGGATCTTGCTGCCCTCCTTGACCCGCATGTGCACGGCGCCCGGCGCCAGGTCGGCAAACGGGCCGGAGCCTGGGCCGCTCCCCTCAGTCCCAAACCCCGCCGTCGCCTCTTCAGAGTGCACCTTACGGAAGTTCTCCATGCGCCGTCGTTGCCGGGGCCGCGGGCCTCGCCACGGGTCGTCCTCAGCCCTGGGGCGGCATGGCTGCCGGTCGCACCCAGCAAGGACCGGCAGGGGTAATGGTGAGGGAGCGACGGACAGGCTGGTGGGCCGGATGGGAGAGCACCTATCGTCGTCTTCCACTCTCTTTTGGTTGCTGCTCTACTCAGAGCTCTAGGCGCACGGCGATCCGCGCCGGTAGCCGAGGCCCCGCCTGGCAGCCCCGCCCCTTCCGCCAGGCCCCCGCCCCTAACTCAGCCTGCGGTCCCCGCCCCAATTTCAACCGCTTCCCAGATCCAGGCTGCGGGATCCTCCGCTATAAGGGCGTGGGAGCGGCGCGCGTTGTGGAGCGTAATGGCAGCGCCACGGGCTGACTTGGTAGGCGAAGTTCCCCTATGATTGCCATCAGCCCTTCCGGAACCAGCCTTTATAAAGAGGTAACCTAAATAAAAACTGCGTTTGCGGTGCAAATGCCGCTTCAAGCCGGCTCCCCGAGCCTTTCCGCGTTTCAGTGAAGGCCGCCCCTTCCCTCCCTAGGAGAGATTTACAGAGGCCTGCGGAGCCTCCTTCCCCCACTGCTCTGGGGACCATTCCACCCCAACTTTGTTCCTTCTGCTGCCGAACCTGGACACTCTCCTCAAGGACGACCTGTGCTCGGTCGGCAAGTGCGGGAGGCGCAGGCTTCGGCCCCCCTCCACGCCTTCCCTCGGACCACAACGTTGAGGTGTGGTCCTCGCAGAGCAGCCGGAGACTGAGGTCTTAGTCCCGCCGCTCCTGACCGTGCTGGAGGTCACCGGGCCCTCGGACCACCCTTGGGGATTGGGGAGTGAGAGAGAGTCTGGGCCAGGCTGTTCCCTGGGATGAATGGGAAGAGAACCAGGAGCTCCCTTCTCAAAGGGAGTTAAGCTTCTTCCACCCCTGTCTAAAAGTCCACCATTACAGCTGCACTCTTCAAGGCAAACCAGGCATGCTTCCCTGCTCCTGTAGATCCCCTTTCTACCCAAGTGGAATTCGTTGTCAGTCAGCTGTAACACCCTGGGACCTCTGGAGTCCTTGTTCCAAAAGCAAACGGGGGAGGAAGGCAGGTTTTACGAGAGGAAAAGGAGGAAGGTGGGAAGTTGAAGCTTTGGTGGTATTATGAGGCTACTGGGTACCCCTTTCTGGGAACTGCTGCGTAGGACCGAGGGTGGTCCCGGTCTTCTGCCAGATGAGATGAGCCAGTGAAGAGCAGTGAAGACGGAGGCGAGGTTAGTGTTGAAGGACGGCCAAAGGGAGGGAGGAGGATGAAAGAGGAGCTGGACCCTCCCTAGAACTGCCCCCGGGCCTCACCCTTCGTCTTCCCATCCCCCTAGACGCACCGCTCAATCAGACCTAAGAGAGTGGGGCAGACCTGATCCAGGTGGGGATGGCCGAGACGGAGCCTGGCGGGGCCGGAGGGACACGGAGAGCTTGGGCGGGCGGGCAACTCTGAGTGCTGGCGGCATCACAATGCTTGGGGGAGCTGGGCCCCCAGTCTTGAGAGGGACTGCCGGAGTCCTCCTCTTCCGTCTCACAGATGCTCTCACCTCCTCAGCACCCCGTAACTCCTAGTTCTCGGTCCCTGCTGTTTGGAACCCGGGGCTGACCCATTACCGCCCCTTGGGAGTGGCTGGAACTAGTAGACCGTTGCACCCGAAACGTGAGTTACCGACCTCCTCCCGAATCTTCTGCTTGCTCGTTGTGATCATGGGCGCTTCGGTCGCGTTCCTTTGGGAACCTGGACTTAGACCCCACGCCAGCTCCTGCGGGCCCCACGAGGAACAGCTATAGGAGGAGCTAGAGGCACAGAAGCCTTAAGAAGACACAAAGGCTGCCTGTAGCGCGTGGCGCGGTGCGGGGAACCCCAGGCTCTGTAAGGTCAGGGTAGTCGTGGGACTTAAAGAGCAGCAGTTTCGGTTAGGCCTGAGAAAAAGCCCCAGTACGGCACGAAGCTACGTGGGAAGGGGCTGGTTAGGTAAGAATAGAGCTCTCCATCAACGGGGTGCAGGCAGGGGGCTGCAGTTTGGAGGAGGGGGCCTGAGAGGTACGGTTTTGCGTAGGGTGAAGATGGGGCGTCCGCCTGGACTGGTCCTTGAAGGCGCGGTGCCCCCCGCCCCTGTAGCCAGCTGTACACACTTCGATTCACTTTGCTTGGGAGTCCGTGCAGGGAGAGCGCAGACAGGCCCGCATCCCCTCCCTCTCGCCCTCCACCCCGTACCCCCGCTTCTCGGCTCGCCTGGCAGCATTTAAAATGTAAATGTACATAGTGATTAGCCTCCAGGTCACTAATTACCGCTGAAGCCATTCATTACCCTGTCTTTGCACGTCGTAGCCCTCCGGCTGCGAGCTTCTGCCCCGCCTCGGAGTCGCAGGGGTGGGGGCTGAGGCCAGAGGACGCGCGGGGGAAGGGCGCGGAAGGATCCGAGGATTGGGGGGATTGTAAGTGTAATGAGGCCCGCCGGGAGGGTGCGGGGCAGGAGAGGAGCCATTTCAGGGGGACGATGGGGTGCGTGGTGAATTAGGGGGGCGAAACGAGAAAAGGGGAAATTCATGGGCGTCTAGTAATGGGGGCGGTGAAGAAGTAGCGAAGAGACGGGTCGACTGGGGCGGTTTGAGGGCGGGAACAAGGCTGAGAGGATCGGGCGAAGGCAGAATACTCCGGGAGGAATGCCCTAGAAGGGACAGTTGCAGTTGGGAGGGTAGTGGAGGAGGGCTCAACTCTGGAAGGGTGGGTCAATAAATTTGAACATCTGTGGCGCATACTCCGGAGCTGTTAGAAACGTGGAAAGACAGGCAGGTATTTTTAAGGGGTGGGGGGCGGGTCAGTTTTTGTGTGTGCTTGTTTATAGAGATAAACGTATTTTTTAAATATCTGCAAGAAAACAGCACACTACATCTGTTACCTCTGAGGCTGCATCTAGTTTCTGTGGACCTATTTAAGAAAAGAACTACTGAATATGAATACAAAATTCTGCACAGAGCCGAATCATCTACTAATGTTCGTTCATTTGTACCATTACCTCACAGTAATTTGGTACTCTTCACTCCCTCCCCACCAAAAAAAATTAAGCACAGAGCCTTGAAACTGCATGTGTTGGTGAGGTACTGACCTTGAAGCCTGAGGTTCATTAGCTTATTTTGTCTTATTCTGACCTTGAGCATTATTTAACCCCTATGCCTTGGTTTTTCTCAGCTGTAAAATGGGACTAACATATGAACTTGCCTCATAAAGTGGTTGTGAGGGATGTAACAGTATTATAAACTTGGCTGGTAAGTTCTCAGGAAATGTTAGTTAATATTTTTCATATATTATTTGTGATTAAGATAAACTTAAAAAATTTAAAGAGGGAGGTGAGGAGAAAAGGAAGCTGGTGAAAGGGAAAGGAAATGGACAAAGCCTTGGAAATGGCAGTTTTCCTAGTATTTTAGGAACTAATGAGTGGCAAATTACAATTCTTTCCCCCTAAGGGGAGGTGGTGGGGGGCTAGGCTGGAGCACCAGCCTGGCTAACCCAGCTCTGCATTGGCCAGGCTTGTGTACCTTTCCATTGGTACATCCTACCTCTCATGGACAAATCTCTTAACCCAAGACTGGGAGAAAATTCCTGGCAGAGGGCAGGTATCTTCCTCCTCTGTCTCCATTGGTGAAAAGAGATTCTTCTATATATATAGACCCAGGGAAAAACCCAGATACTGAAAATTTACTTCCTTAAGTGGAGAGCAGGGAAAAGAGTGAAGAAAAAGGCTGGTTACTCCAGTCTGGTAATTAATGGAGTTTATTAAGGGAAACTTACATACAAGGCATGTTTTGGGCAGCCACAAGAGAAATGGATCCCTGAGCATCTTGGCAGGGTAAAGGAAGTGGGGAAGGATAGTCACATGTACTACTATGTGGCCGCTAGCAGGAACAGAAATTCATTTACATGCTTGACCAGGTCATGACAACAACCTGTCCCAGGAAGTGGCATATAGCAGGAGGCAGGGGAGGGGCACTGCTTTACATCAGAGTGAATATCAGTTACCCCCAGACAGTCTCTAAGGGGCTTTGCGGAAAGCAGCCTCCATTCTGGCCTTGACCCAGCTTGCAAGACAGAAAGCAGTTGCATCATGGAACAGTCTCTCTTCCACAAGGATGAGGAGCTTCCAATGTCCCAGCCTCTCCCCGCAGAGGCTTAGGAACATTCAAAGGAGTCAGGGACTGGAAAGTTGGAGGGGGCCAGAGGGTGCTCAGATTGCAACCACCAAATGCTCTGAATTGGGCCAGGTAGTCTCACAGATTTATTCCCTGATTAATCTTCCCCATCTTCCTTTCCATCATTTTTTAACAAATGTGGAAACTGAGGCACAGAGAGGTTAGGTAACCTGCTCAATACCACAGCCAGAAAGCAGCACCTACAGATAATTTGAATGTAGGTGCTCTGACTCATTTTACAACCTCACCTGATTTGAGTCTCCCAGTAAAGGGGAGAGAAAGAGGTTCCTACATTGGGGAAGGTGTATTGGTTATTCGTGGCTGCAAAAAAAAGTTACCCCAGAAGGTATAGGGGGGATAAATGGTTAATGGAAAAACAATAAGATTTTTAAGAATGAAAAAAAAAAATTACCCCAAAACTCAGCAGCTTGTAACAAAAACATTCATGACCTTAATTTTTGAGGGCTGGGAATATAAGAACAGCCAATAGGATTGGTTCTAGGTCAGGGCCTCTTGTGAAGCTGCTCTGAAGGTACAGGGATCCACTGGGGGTTCAGTCACAAGTTTATTCACACGTTAGGCAGAGGCCTTCGGTTCCTTTCCACATGAATTTATCCACAGATCTGCTCCTGACGTAATAGTTGGATTCCCCCAGAGCAAGTGGGATTGTAACAGGGTGCAGCTAGGCCCCCACAAAGGGGATTTGTAACAGAGTCCAGAACTTAGGGTGTCCAAGAAAAATATAGGATGTTCTTCACCCATCCAAGGAGGGCTGCCATGGGGAATGGGAG